CCCCAGGTATTAGGTCAATAGAGAATTCAATTTCTCTGTTTGGGGGAAAACCTGAAATTTCATCCGAAAAAACCTCTGAATATTCAGAGACAATAGGGATACTGGTTGCATCAGGTTTAGCCTTTGCTTCTGAAAGATTAAAGAGAACATATCCTTGTGCTCCATTTAACAAATTCTTCCTAAGTTGAGAAGTTGATAAGAATAAAGATTCATTTGGGAGTTCTGACTCTTTTGAGAAAATTATCTTTCTTTTATGACAATCAATGACCACACAGTTTGCAGACAACCAATTCATACCAAGGATTACATCAATGTCAATAATAGGTAAACAAACTAAATCTATTCTAAACTTTTTCCCTTCGACTTGAAGAGGACAATTTTTACAGACTTGAAATGTGGAAATTTTCTCTCCAGTAGGAAGAAAAATTTCAAGATAAGAAGATAGAATGGATATTGGTAATTTTAACTTTTGAGTAGAAGATAAGGATATGAAAGAATGAGTAGCTCCAGAATCAAACAATACAGTTATAAGAGAACCTTGTATTAGACCAGTACCTTGAACCAAATTTGAAGTTTGAGCCGCTTCCTGACCACTAAGAGTGAAAACTCTTCCTCTTGTTGCAGGTTGAATTGGTGAATTCTGACCTTGATTCTGAGGACACTGCCTCAACATATGTCCAGGCTTTCCACACTTAAAACATACGCCTCTTCCTGCTAGGCATTCTCCAGCATGATTCTTTTTGCACTTTGGACATACCTGAATCTGAGAATTCATCTGTCCTATATTCTTCCTTCCTCTGTTGTTAGCAAAGTTATTCCCTGAGTTTTGTTCCTGTGAAAACCTCCCTTTGTTGTTGTCATCGTTCTTTCTCCGACTTGAAACTCTGTCTTTCTCTCTTCCCTCCTCAGCTTCCTTCATGCTTGCTTCAATGTCTTTGTACCTATTTATTAATGATGAAAAATTCCGGATTTGGTGTCCTATTATCATACTTTTTAATTCAGGTTTTAGTCCAGATTCAAATTTAATCGTTAACCATTCTTCATTATGCTGATTCTGTACATAATTAGAATATCTGGATAATTCTTCAAATTTTGCCACATATTCTCCAACAGTCATGTTTCCTTGTTTCAGTTCAAGGAATTCTATTTCTTTTCTGTTTCTTACACTCTGAGGAAAGTATTTTTCTAAAAAGGCATCTTTAAAGATTGTCCACGTAATCTCTGTTTCTTGGCTTTGGTAATATCTTTTGGTATTTGTCCACCAATGTTCTGCTTCTCCAATCAACAAGTATGTGGCAAAGCTTACACGATGAGTATTAGGACAGTCCATTACTAAGAATATTTTCTCAAGTTCTTTCACCCATTCCATGGCTACCTCAGGGTTATAATCTCCACGAAAAGTAGAAGGTTTATGCTTACGGAATTCAGTGAGTCCTTTATAATCAGAATTAAGTCCTCCTTGAGTATTTGCAATTGTAGGTCCATTTTCACTTTCAGAATTATGGTTGTGATTTCTGGTTGCACGATCCTCCCTCAGTTCCTGGATAATTTGCTGATTAGTTACAGTTTGTTCTCTAAGACCTTCTGCCACTCGAGTAACCGCATCTGTTACTAGGTTAACTTCTGGTTCAGAAGTTGAAGAAGATACTTGCCTTGTACCTGCCATAGATCTACATATATTGTTTTATGATAGTAAGTTGATCAGGCTCATTAAAATAACTCAAAATATGCATGATCTATGACAAAATGCCAGGCAACTATAATAGTTTAGGTCTTTTATTTATCTGAATCGCTGCTCTGATACCATAAAATGTAACAACCTCAGATTTTTCCAGTATAAAGAATATGGTATAATTTTTTTTTAAACTATAATAATTAAATAGAGTATATAAAAATAAATCTAAAAAAATTTAACTAAAAATGCTAACATCCTTCATTTATTACACATGGATGTAAGTTAGTACAAATATATTACATCCTAAATATTTTACAACGGTTCCACACATATATATTACATTCCTACTACATCAAGTTACACTGTTTATTCCTTACATACTTCTCAGACTAATCTAGCTATAGGTATAGGACTCCACACTGTCTGCATGGAATATAGTTGCCGCTCCTTGGTTTCCAACTGTTATGTAAAATTCCCAACGATCGTCATAAAAATAAACATTCACAGTCCATCCTTCTCCAGAAAAAGACAAGTTAGGCATGATGATTTTCTGGAAAGGTTAGCACAAAATAAAACAATGTGAGATAATTCTCAGTAATATTGAGATTTTTGAACTATAACCATTTCCAGCCGTGATAACGGAAAATATTAATCTCTCAAGTAATTCTCATAAATTGGAATAATATCACAAATATTAATATGCAATCTCGTAATATTTATCTGTAGCTAATTTAATTCCCAATTTTGTGGGTTTCCTGCATGTGAAAGGTTATAATATGGCGGAGCTCAAGCCATGATAAGGCATCCCTTACCCTCAAACCTTTTGATCCCAAACTTTGTGGGTCACATCACAGCAGTATTATTAAGATAAAATTTACACATTCTTTTAATATTCAATTGGTATCAAAATAAAAATTCAAAATCTGAAAGAATCATATTAACATAACAAGCATAACAAAATTAAAAGAAGGATTAAGGTAAAATTTATAGATAAAAAACATTACTAAAGAAGAGAAGAAATTAAGAGAACATTTTGGCATAACAACAACATATAACTTTCTATATATATATATATATATATATATATATATATATATATATGATTGAAGAGAAGAAAGTAGAGAGAAGATTTTACTCTCTCAATATTACCTTTTACTTATTTCTACGTCTCTCTTTTTTTTTTCTCCGTAACAAAGCAACGAAATTTACTGTGATTGCTTGATCCCTTCACCGTAACAAAGTAACGAAATTTACTCTTGATTGCTTGAAAATGACCACTGAATGGTGCTGTTGTTATCAATTTATATAGATGCAATATGATGACTCACCACTTCTTTCTTTCTTTTTACGTTTTTTTTTTTTTTTTTTTACATCATTACTCATACCTCATTGGTATTACATCATTTCACTTAGGATGTGGCTTTGGAGGGGTGACCCACGTGACCCCTTCCTTCCATGTATATATATATATATATATATTTTTTTTATTACATTAATTTATTTATAATATTCATTTAATTAAAATAGTTATAATATTGTTATTATTAAAAATTTAGAATATTTAAAAAATATTTAATTAGAATTTTAATGTAATAATAAATTTTAAGAAATTAATTTAATATATATATATTTTATTAAAATTTATTCTTTTATTTAATTATTTTATTTACCATATGTTATTTAATTTTTATAAGTAAATAGTATTCATCATAAGGCTTATCATATATTACATTCAATGTTGCCCATAAAATTTTATGTAGTAACACATGTAACATAAATGAAATTTATTTCTTTACTTATTTATTAATAATACTAATTTATTTATTTATAGAAAATATAATAATGATAATAATAATTTATTTATATCATATATATATATATATATATATATATATATATATTCTATATTATTACTTTGACTATTATTATTTTTTATTTGGTTATTATAATTTGGATACCCGAGCCAAAAAATTATGACCTTCCAAAGTTTTACGGTTAAACTGTTAACTTTTGTTCCACGTGTCAACACCAGACGAGTCACGTCTAATTTAGGCGTGAATGCCTCGTGGGTTACGTCCAACTTAAGCGTGAGTGGTCACATCCAATATGGGCGTGACGTCCTGCAAAAAATCTGTAAATAATATGAAAACAACTATATATTAGTAATTATTTATTTAAATTACAATAAATTAACTTTTTTGCCAACCATTTCATAATAATCTTTGGATATAGGTAATGTTATTTATAAGTTAATGGGAAAATATTTTCTCATGTTGTTGGAGACATATTATCTTATGTCATATAGATAAATATGTGGGACCCATCTTTTATAAAATAAAATAAAACTAAAGGAACCCACATGTTTATTTCTATGACGTGAGACAAAATGTCTTTAACAACATAAAATTAATAAGTTCCTAAAGTTAATATTTATACACTATTTTTATACTTTGCTTTTATTAAGAAAATAAAGATAGAGATATTACATAATGAGATTAATAAATCCCTAAGTTAATATTTATACACTATGTTTATACTTTGCTTTTATTAAGAAAATAAAGATAGAGACATTACATAATGAGATTAATAAATCTCCAACAACATGTATCAGAATCATGTCTCGGGTTCAATCCTCGTCTCCTTCCATTTTTTTTATGAAATTTTTTAGCATAGATAAGCTGGACTTGATGCATCATCTACCTTTCAAGCCTAATGGGCTATCTTGTGAAGGGACATATTAGAGATATATAAAACTATTAATGTAGTCTATGTGATCAAGTGGTCACAAGTTCAATCCTCACCGCCCCATCTAATTAATTCCACATTGTGGAGTTTTTTTTTTTTTTTTTTGTAAATCATTGTGGAGTTTTTTAGAATATATAGATAAGTATGTGCATTATAAAAATCTTTAATGATTTAAATTATTCTCTAACATTGTTTTTATTTTGTTATGAGTTTAATATTTGCAAGAAATAAAATTATCTATCACTAAGCACGTGGATTAAGGTTATTTCAATTTAACTGTAGTCTCCAAAGACATATCGGTAGGAAATTTTTTACCGATCTCTTGCCCGGCTTGAATACAGATTAATTGGCACCCATTGAGTACAAGTATTAGAAGATGGGTTACAAACTTTTTGATTACAATCCATTGTATACTCTTAGAAGTATAGTGTAATTTGTAAAAAAAAATTTGTAAACGAAAGATTTATAACAAAAAGGAAAAAAAAGGAGTCAATGTCTCCTTTAGCATTATATAACTGCATTGGTTCTTCCTTTTTTCCTCTGCCTTTCTTTTCTGATCACATAAACAAACTAGTTGATCATGGTCATGGATTCTCTTCTCTCCATGCTCTTGTTTCTTTTCACATTCTTCTCCTTCAACCCTTTCTCCTCTTTTGCTTCACAACCCTCTTACAATGATCACTGTGCTTCTATCATCCCACATTCAACTCCAACCACTAATCTCAGGCTCAACCCTTTTCCCCTTGGTAACCATCACACAGGTTACTATATCGGAGGTGATAGTATCATTGATGTTGCTGCTTCCATGAACACATTTTCCTTTTACCTCCCACTAAGGAACATACATGCAACTCAGGTCCATGGTATTTTCAAAATTGAAGCCACTTTGTCATTTACAAGCACCAACACATTCAGCTATGGTGACAGTTCATATTATAGGCGTCAAAGTCATTACCTTAGAGGTTATTTAACCTTCAAGCTTGATGGGTTCTGGTCTGAGTCTTCAGGGAAGGTTTGCATGGTTGGTAAAGGCAGTGGTTATTCCAAAACAGGTGACTCTCTTAATCTGGATGTTGTCTTTAAGCTTAATAATGTCTTCAATGTAAGTAATATTAGTAGCTTGGTTAGTGGAACCTTAGAGAGCTTGAGTTCTGAAAAGGATGAGAATTACTTTGAATCCATTTCTGTGTTGATGTTTCCAAAAGCAAATTACACTTATACCTTGGATTCCATTGCTGACAATGAGTTCTCTTCTGGGGTTGATGCTGAAGGGGGTTTATCTTTAGATTTCAATTCTTTAAGTTTTTGCAAATATCCCCTTTCTATGGGGATTGGAAGACTCCAGTTAGAGTACTCTCATGAGTGCAATTCTTCTAAGAATTGCACACCTATTAGTGGGAGTTCTGATCAACCGCCATCTCTAGTGTCTTTGAAAGGCATTGAATGTTCTCTTATTAAGAACAGGTTGCGGGTTTTGGTGGAATTTTCAAATGTTAGTTACTATTGGACTAACCAAAGTTTCAATACCAAAACTATGTTAGTAGGGGAAGGATGGTGGGATGAGAAGAGAAACATATTGTGTGTAGTTGCTTGCCATATCATGGATATGGCATCATCCTTGGCTGGTACTCAAGTGGGTGATTGCTCAGTAAGATTGAGATTGAGATTCCCCTCAATTTGGTCAATCAAAAACACTAGTGGCATAGTGGGACAAATTTGGAGCAACAAGACTGCAAAGGATCCAGGCTATTTCAAGATGATAACATTTAGAAATGATGAGGATCATAGGGTTGGAGGTCAAGGCTTAAAATATGAGTATAGCCAGCTAGACAAAGTTAACCAATCATGCTCAACACACAAGCTTGTTGAGAACCAGGGGAAAAGATATCCTGATGCCTATTCTGATGACATGAGATTTGATTTGACAGTAAGAGAGTCCAACAAGAGATTGGCCTGGGGTTATTCTTTTCCCTTATCTGTTGATGATCAGTTCCTAATTACATCTTCTGATTTTATGTCAAGCCCCTCAATGGAAGTTCCTCCTGAAATCAACAGCAGCAATAGTAGCTTGTTTAACATTAGCTACAAGATAAGCATCTCAGTGATGTCTTATTCAACGCTTGACAGGAATTCCCTCTTCAACAAGTCTTATTCAGTAAAGATTTCTGCAGAAGGAGTTTATGATGCTGGAGCAGGTACCTTGTGCATGGTAGGTTGCCGTGACCTTCTCTCAAACACTGGCATACCAACAGCTCATTCTGTGGACTGTGAGATTCTGGTGAAGTTTCAGTTCCCATCATTAGATACAAAGGATGGGAGATACATCAAGGGAAGTATTGAAAGCACACGCCAAAAATCTGATCCTCTGTACTTCAAAGGTTTAGACCTATCTGCGGTTGCATATTACAGAGAAGCAGCAAGCAAAAATATTTGGAGAATGGATATGGAGGTCATCATGGCTCTGATATCTACCACTCTAGCATGTGTTTTTGTGGGATTGCAACTCTACCATGTGAAGAGACAACCTAATGTGCTTCCCTTCATCTCACTTATCATGATGTCAGTTCTTACTTTGGGTTACATGATACCCCTTGTTCTGAACTTTGAAGCTCTTCTCACTCAAAATCCCAACAACAAAAACTTTGTACTTGGAAATGTTAGTTGGCTTGAAGTTAATGAAATAAGTGTAAGGCTTATCACCATGGTAGCTTTCTTGTTGCAATTCCGTCTCCTGCATCTAACTTGGTCATCAAGAAAGACTGATGAAAGCAAGAAAGGCCTCTGGATTGCTGAGAGGAAGGTTGCCTATGTTACTTTACCCTTGTATGCAGCTGGTTTATTGATTGCATTGCTGTTGAAGTTGAAGAAAGATGGAGATAAGGTTCCTATGTTTACCCGAGTGTACCAGCACCCTTCATCTTGGGAGAACTACAAATCTTTTGGTGGTTTGGTATTGGACAGTTTTCTGTTGCCACAAATCATTCTAAACCTGTTTACAAATATGAGGGAGAATGTTCTTTCATGTTCATTTTACTTTGGAACTACTTTTGTGAGACTGTTGCCACATGCCTATGATCTTTACAGGACACATAATTATGCTCTCCAGGATAATGGGTCATACTTCTATGCTGATCCAAGTGCAGATTTTTACTCCACTGCTTGGGATATTGTCATTCCTTTGGGAGGTATCCTATTTGCTATCATTATCTACTTGCAGCAACATTTTGGTGCTCATTATATTCTGCCTCATAGGTTCAAAGGGTCAAAGGTATATGAAAAGGTGCCAGTGGTGACTGAATCAGAAGTAGAGACAACCAACATGTAAAATGTCCTTTTTGATGCACAAGTGCAAATGGCCTGATCATATATAGTGAATCAAAATTGGCTACTCCTAAGTATTCCTCTCCATGTATTTTTGCTCTTAAGTTGTGTAATTGCAATATAGTCTCTGTAGAATAAACTTGTTACTGTAAAAAGACTGCTAATGTGGCTAATTAAGTGAAGGCTTGTGCGGTAAGAAATCTTGAAGCTAAATAGGCTCTGTTTTAGTGCTTTTGCTGATTATAGAATTGGATAATGATGAATGTCTGGATTATATTTTTTAAATTAGGTGAAGTTTGGGACTTGATACAAAAGGCTTATTGCTTATTACATTTACTACTCTTAATAGCAAGTTTCTGCTTAATGTTTAACGTGTTGTTTAACTTTTCTAATGATTAATGCTGATTTCATGTTATAGGCTATAAAGAGCTAGGCAAAAAAAATAAAAATGAAGTCAAAATATGTTTTAAATCTTAATTTGATAATACTTTTCTAAAATTCTTAAAAATAATGAAAAAAATTATAAATATGAATTTTTTTAAAATAACATAATAAATTTTACATAATATAATAAGGGTAAAGAATTTCTCAAGTCAATGAAGATAAGTTATCTTCGGTGGACTCAAAACGATGTCATTTTGAAGCGGAAATCAAGGTGTTTTTGTAATTCTAATATATTGCAGGGTTATATTAGTCTTTATTTTTATAATGTTTTAATCTTATAACTCAAAACGACGTCATTTCTAATTCACTGGAGACAATTTTATCTCCGATGACTGGAGAAATACTTTTCTCATGTAATAATCCTTAAACATGCATTTTTATTTGCGTAACTTTGTTGTTCGATTTTTATCTCCATCATATCAAATATTTAATTTCGTAATAATTTATATAGACAGTTTAGCTAGTTTATTTTACCTTAATTTATGACATCATCATGTTTGACTAGTGGTTGGAGTGTTGAACCATCAATCATATTCCTCTGAGTTTTTGTTGAAATAGTTTTTAAAATATTACTTTATAGCATTTCAATTTATGACTATAAGTTAATTGTAAATATTTTTTAATTAAAAACTTAAAAACTCAATTCGTTAAACTTACTAAATTGTATATATTGACTCTTAAGAGTAGGTTTTTTCGTACATGTACAATAATTTAAATTTACATTACTCTACATGGTTTGATAAGTTCAAGAGATTAAGTTGCTAAATTTTAAATCACTTAAGAATTTTCTGTAAATGAATTGGAATAAATTCCAAGTATTTTAGTTTTATGTTTTAATCTTCTATTACCACTCTATACTATAGGACCCCTCTGTCCTGCCCCGAAAGCAAGTCCTAATTGACATTTTTACTTCCTGTGCTTCTTACTTTGTGGCCTCTTGCCTAAGTACCTGTTTGGATGAACTTTTTTTTTTTTTCAAAAGTTACTTTTTTTCTTGAAAAAAAGCATTTCTTAGTTTTAGTTCATTTGCATACTTGCTTATAAAAAAAGCAGAAGTTACAAAAAAAGTTAAAAATCTACTTTTTTCATAAGTTAAAAATTTTAACTTCTAAAAAAAGCAGAAGTCAAAAGTCAAATATATTTTTTAAAAAACTAAATATATTTATAAAAATATAAATAGCTTTAACTTTTATAAAAATGACTTCTAAAATAAAAAAGAGATAAAAATTATTTTTTTAGAAAGGAAAACAAACAGGCTCTAAGTACTTGGGCAGTAAGGATGAGCATATAAGTGGATCCGAACTGGGCTTTTTTCCAATTGAATTTTTTTTTTAAAGAAATGATTCAGAACCAGTTCAAAATTGGTTCAAAATTGATTTATATTTCAGAACCAGTTTAGAATCAAACCAAAAACTAATTTGCGTACCCGAACTAGTTCTGAACTGATTTTCGAACCGGTTATGAAAAAATAAAAATAATTTGTTTGGAAACGAATCGGTTTAAACTAATTCGGTTAGGTTTAATTCAATTATTTTGTGCACCCTTATTCGATTATTGTATTTATTTTCTTATATTTAATGTTACCTGAATTCTATTTTTTTACATACTCCGATAATATTAAAGAAATTTGTTTCATGTACTGAAAAAAAAAAGTGTTTCATAGCCGAAGCTGGTAGCAACAACTTTTGCAATAATTAACGATGGCCTAAATTTCACAGTGCAATGGCTATCACAATCCTACCACAAAGAAATATTAAGTAAAGGTGCACTTAGAAGTCTTCCTTGCTTAACATGTTCTTTGGTCTTGACTCTAGAGATTTTGCACAATATGTGATTGATGACTTGTTCCAAGTCGTTGTGGGCGTTGAATACAAAAGACCTAATAATGACGATTTCGTCGAAATTTGGCCGGCAACACCTTTGTCCGCTTATACAATAACGAGTTCGAATACAACAACTAAAAAGGACGAACATCCAAGAAAATGTCTTTTAGAACATCCAAGAAAATGTCTTTTAGAAAGATGGCTATTTTCACGAGGTCCTCACAAGTCACAACCCCTTTGAGAGAGAGAATAATTATAAAATCTTGTGCATTGATCAAATAAGTAAATAATAATGTAGAAAGTTATACTTATTATCATTTTAGGCTTACCATTCTTACTATCTACTTGCTTACAAATGAATTAATTAGAAATTATCTGTTTAAAAAAAGAAAAAACTAATTGCCACTGATTTCAAATCGATCCAACGATAATCAAATAAATAGTAAGAGTGATAAGCCTAAAAATATAATAAGTATAATCACCCCAATAATAAATAAATAAGATAGAGTTTGTGAGAAATTTCGTTGTCTGTTTTTTTTTTCCTCCTAAAATAAGTATAGGAGAGAAAATGTTGTTTTATTTTAAGGTTAAAATATTTGTAAGTCTCAATTTACATAAAAACCATCTTATTGATGTTATTAAATTATATTAGTTCAGCCAACAGTTATCAATTAGTTTTTGAGGAACTTGTGAAAATAAAGTTCTCTAATAAAATTTGGCGGAATGCATTCATATGATTAAAGGCTTAGAAGGTTAATTTTGAAAATTTTGTATTTGTGAAATATATTTAAAGGAAATCAAGGGCTAATTATCTTTTTCTTCGGTCAATTGAAACTTACGCAATAATATAAATTTCTTTTCATAAATTCTACTTGATATTGGTGATATTTTACTAAACTATTCGAAGAATTAATGTGATACGAGAGTAATACACCAATCCTTTTTTTTTCTTTGAAAACTGATCCTAATTACCTCTTTGAGGAGAATCAGAACCTCCGGTATCTCCACGGGTTCAACTCTTTGAGCCTCCTATGAGACTAATCCAGAGTTCGTCCAAGGATTACGGTACTTATGCCCCTCCCCAGATGGTGTTGGTGGGATTCGAACCGAGGTCCTCTCCCACCACTCAGTCCCCATGCTACCAACTGAGCCACCACACTTATACACTAATCCTTTTTTATCCTTTCTAATATACCAATCCAATTAAGGTGTAACGTGTAAAATAAAAACTAAAAAAGTGTGCGTGTTATGAGATAAATGGAGAGGGATGAGGGAGGAAGAAGGTAAAGAGAATATGGTATAACTCTCATTCTTATTCAGTTCACATATCCGATACAAATAATATCAATATATAAAACTACAACAATGAATGAGGGAATAATGCTCAATTAGAAGGGTGGTTACCAAATCATAAATGGGAGATAATTGAACAATTAGTACCAATAGTAACATCCATTATAATTGCACCATTAGTGCCAACGGTAAATAATTTAACTCATACATAATTTTAAACACTCTATACGAATATGCCTCCTCAAAACTTTGCTAAGAAAAATCTATTGAGATAAAAACTTAGCGAAAAAAAGAGAGTACATTATTCATAATTAATATACAATCTTTTGTTATACACTAACTTATACCGCCTCATTAAAAACCTTTATAAGAAATATTCAGTGGGATAAAAATTTGGTAAAGAGAAGAAGAGTACAATGTGTATAACTCCCCCTCAATTAAGCCATATAGCTACTGGAGCTAAGACACTGGAGCAACAATTACAACTTTTCATAATAGCAATCTCTCAATATTCTCGCATAATAAATTGTAATTATGTCCATTTATAATATTTTCGCATGGACATCATTGCGCTAATATTCATACCTTCATCAATACCTTGCTAGAAAAATCCAGCGGGGAAAAACTATCGAAGGAAAAAGAATACATAACATGCGCTATCAAAGCATTACACAAACTGGCTCATTAAAAACCTTTAGCTAAGAAAAACCCTTTGGGGAAAAAAACTTAGCAAAGGAAAAAAGAGTACAATAATAAACCTTCAGGGTTCTATCCTTCAGGGATAATCATAATTAATTCGCACCCCCTGATGAAAGTAATCTATAAAGTTTATGCATACCTATTTCATATTCCAATTTCTCAAATTTGGAAATAGGTGAGGGATTTAGTGAATATAGTTACTAGAGTGAATTTGATGGATACATCACATGAAACATTAATGTGTTGTTTTAGACACATTCTGGAGAAGTCTCATATAATGCAATGGTCTCGTAGTAATTTAAGGTAACAGCAATTAGGCTTTGCTTTTATAGCCTTCCATTAAATTGCAATGCTTCCACAAAGAGATGTATATCTAATATGTGATTATTAGACATATAGTCAGCATCAAAATATTCAACCAATGTAAAATCTCCATATCATGGATAGATCCTTGAAAATGACCAAAATATGATTAACGTCATTCGAATGTCTTAAGGGAAAAACTATGTCTAGCTAGAACTTTTACTCCAAATGCAATGTCAGGTCTAATTGCAATTTGCAGAGTATAATAGTTCCTATGACGTTTGAGATTAGCAGCTTCAAGTCCTAATCCTTTCTCATTATTTTCTTTTGTCTAAATGGATCTGTATTCACTTCTAGTGAATAGACCATCATTGGGCCACTTATATAGTAACAACCGTGTAATAAAATAACCAATTTAAAATATGCTCGTTTTGCAGGCCAGGACAATAATTTATTTGAGACCATCATGCAATGATCTTTTCAGCTCTATGCTAAACATGCTGCTAATTTCATTCTTGACATATAGGATACAGAGAATTCTTCAGGAATTTTCATATAAATATCATCGTCAAGTGACCCTACAGTCACGACGTTCATTAAATGCATCTCAAGGTGCATATTAGTTACCATATTGATCAAGTAACAAAACGAAATAAAATTCATTACGGGAGAATAGGCATCATAAGTGATGTAGGGTTTATGTGAAAACCTTTAGGGAGTGTTTGGTTCAGGAGTTTTGCAGAGTTTCCCAGCAAAGTGATTCCAACTTTGTCAATTCTCCATGTTTGGTGCACTGATTTCATGAATTTTACCTATCAATGCCAATTGCCTAGCTATCGACCATTGTATGTAAAAAGCAACAAAAACACTGTTCCAGAAAGCAACTTAGAAGGTGGTATTTTTTCTGAAAATCAGATAAGTTATTTTGGGGTACAAAACATTGACAAGGATACCCTCACACATGATATTGTATCTAGTTGTATCTGTTCACACAATTGGCAATCATCTTCCGCATCAACAAGGATGGTCGACTGTAAGGATGAGTAGTACGACTGTAAGCTTTGGACTTGCATCGACTTTAGAGGCCACCATCGCGGAAGGCAGAGCATCCACTAAAGCTGCAACATCTCCATTTTCACTAACTTGTTGAGGATTTCCCATTTCAGAATTTGTGGCATCCTCCAAATTTGGATGTTCTACCTGTGGACGATGATTAGACCTCGTATGTTCTTCAGTTGACATCCTTAAAGTTGAAGCAATTGCATTATGACATTCATTCAAAGAAATTCCTTCTGAGCTGGTAGATGATGAAGTAACGGGAACATTCTTTCCATCTTTAGATGAGGTTGCATGTTCTGATGCAGATATTTCCTACTTATTTGTCATGGAGAGTTTAATTTGATGGTCGACTTTTTTGACAGGGCTACAGGTTTGCATACTGAAGCTGCTCTCAAAGTCTTGGTTGAAAAGATGGGAGCTCCTGATATGATGTCAAAGACGAGATATGTGGATATTGTCGTTGGGACACTTGCTTGTAATTTCAAAAGGGTTATGTGGATATTTTTAAAAGGGTTATTTTGTAATTTTAATAAATTTTCCCATCAATATTTTATCTTCAACCAAACACAGATTCAGAAATTTCACTCAATTTTTCAGGTAAAATTTTGTCCAACCAAACAACTTTTTTTAAACTTTCCTATCTAACTCAATTTCCCTGCAGATCCCTAGTAATTACATTTCCATAGTAAAAAAAAAAATTAACCTGAACCAACCACCCCCTTGATCTTTCTTAATTTCCTCCTTTCATTCATTCTCATATGAATGCTTCTTGCATTCTTGAATAATGGTTGTTTTATTACACCAACACTATCTTCATGGCTCTAGCCCAGCCATGATAATTCTTCCCATTCATGGGAGTTGAAACCAAAACAAGCGATGGGTTTTTTTTCTAGGATGAAGGAAGTAGGGACTTGAAGGATCTGAAATATCCAGAACTTTACCTGGATTTGTAGTGTTACTCGTGAATGAGCCACCATTTGGAACGAGATTGACCATAGGTACTTGTATTGGAACGGAACTCTGATGCGCCATCCTTCAGCTATCAATTATGAGCTTGTATTCAAGAAAACAAAGAACTTTCTCGGATGAAATGAAGAGAAAGAAACAAAAAATGAAATCTGCGAATATTCGAGCTCCCTGAAGAGCTTTGATACTATCTTACAAAGTAAAAACTATATATGATATTTCATTGATGAAAAGTGAAGAATAACTTACAGAAGCAAGTACTTATAGTGCTTACCCTTTTACAAGAAAAGAAAGAAGAAGCTTATGTGGCACTAGCTAAAACAGTTAACTAAACCTAACTGATAAACTGAATAGCGAAAAAGAAGGAATGAAAAACTACTTTACGTGATGAATATTAACAATGATGAAAACAAAATCTTTGTGCATTCAAAAAGTAAGTAAATAAATGAGTTGATTAAAAAAATAAATAAGATTGAGTTTAAGAGGAACTTGTGAATTAAAAGTTGGGTAATACTTCTCTCGTTTAACGTGAGAGAAGTTTGTTTTTCCTATACTAACAAGAAATGTGGAGCCTACAAGTTAAAGAAAAATAATAAAGAAAAAAATTGCAGACACATCTTTTTATGTCTCTGTGACTTGAGATAATTATCTCCTACAATTGGAGAAAATAATTTTCCTTAAAAATTTGTGAAATTAACACATTTCCAACCAAATTACGTGGGTCATGTTGAGGTCTATAACTTTTTCCAAGTCCATTGAAAAGATATATAATTTCCTTTTCATAATAATTTTTATTTAAGTACGGTATTCTATAGGCATTTCAATAATTATTTAACAAGAATAAGATCGTGAAAATTACAATAAAAATATACTCATATTCAAAAAGTAATTTTACATATTTTAAATAATAATTTAAATGTTTAACGTAGTTGATTAGCTAAGAATAATTATAAATTTCTTCATAAATAAATTCTACCATATATGTGTCTTGTTTGTTTGAGACTTCTCTCACTACTAGGGGTATTAATGGGCCGAGCCGGGATGAGCTTTAGAGCCTGTTTGGATCCTCTTATTTTTAAGCTAGAAGCTACTTATAAGATAAAGCTAAAATAAAGAGCTTAAAAAAAGAAGCTAAAAGCTGTTTGGAAATTACAAAAAAAATTTAGCTTAAAAATTACTTAAAAGCACATATTTCAAGAAAATTATCTCTTTTTCTATCTTTATCACTCTTCATTTAAAAAAAAAGCACATAATTCAAGAAAAACAGATAAGAGCTTAAAAAAAAGCTCCTCCTAGGAGCTTTTAATTTTCAGCTTTTTCTTCATTATAAAAAAAGGAGCTTTTCGTTATAAGAGCTTTTTCCAAAATCTGTTTGGCCTAGCTTATGCTTATAAGTAGCTTCTAGCTTAAAAATAAGAGGATCCAAACAGGCACTTAGTCTTGAAAGACTAAACTAGCTTGTGTTCAAATGTGTCAGATTGACTTAGTCTGTAACCTGTTATAAATATAATTATGGGTCTTTGGTATGACTTATTTACAAAAAATAAAAGTCAGGTTTAGCCTGACCTATTAAAAAAATAAGACAACAAAAGTTTATCCGAACAGAATATACGATTAACAACACTAATAATTCCACAAAGATTCATAAATTCAATATATATCCAAACAACATAATATAAAATAAAATCATTTAAAAAATCTGCTTAACCAATAAACTAAAGTAATATGTTTACCAAAAAAAAAAATACAAAATTCTGCATATCCAAAAGAGCAAAAGACTACAAATTCTACGTAAACAATTTAATATAGGGAAAAGTTCACTAATACCTTTCTGGTTTGCTTCAGAATCACCTATATCCCTGTGATTTTTTTTTTATCACATATGCCTCTGTGGTTTGTAAAAAGTAAAAAACCACAGGGGCATATGTGATAAAAAAATATACTCTTTTACAAATCACAGGGGCATATGTGATAAAAAATGATAGGGGCATAGATGATTCCGGAGTAAACCACATGGGTATTGGTAAACTTTTTCCTTTAATATACTTATATCAATAATTTAATATATTGTGATGTTGCCTCCTCCTACATAAACAAAAATAAAAAACATGTTAGATTATTTTTGACATTCAATTATAATATCATAAGATATAAATGAATAGTATAAAAAATATAAAATAAAAATATGAGTCAGTATACTAGGCTAGCCTGATAGCCTTTAAGGCCAGACTTTTGAATTGGAGTTTGAGACCTTTTTATTAAAAGAGCTTTACACAAGTTCAAATCTATATCCAACAATAAAAATAAATGAGTGAGGCCAAGCCTACACAAGCCAAGCCAAAGGCGCAGACACTTTTAACACTCCTATTTAGGGCTGGCAATACGGGCTGGCCCGCCCCGGCCCACCATTGGCCCGCCCAAAATGGGCCGGGCCAGCCCGCCCCGTTTTTATAAAATGGGCCAAATTGTGCAACCCACCCCGTTTTATGCATGGGCTGGCGGGTTGCGGGCCAGCCCGTCCAAAATAAAAAAACTCATAAAATTAAAAAAATAAATAAAAAATCTGCATAAAAAAACACAAAAAACTACATAAAATATAGGAATTAAAGCATCGTACAAATTCTGCTTAAAATTGATTCTACAAGCCAACCCAAAAAATAAAATAAAAATATTAATTCACGAAACTAGTTATCAAGTTTAACTACAATACACACAAATGTCCATTCAAATTGAAAAAAAAAATCACAAACTAATTTTTGATTCATTGCTTTGAAGAAGCTCCAACAAAACATTAACTGTCATCGTCATCATTCATCAATCTTCTCATCAATCTTCACATCAAAGGCACCTTCATCTATATAAATAATAATTGAAAAATAATAATAATTAATTTTACAAACAAGTATGGTTCAATATAAAATGAATTCAAATTAAATAAATTACCAGTCGCGGAAAAACCATTCTGCCAATTACGGGTACAAAGCAAAGCTTCAACACATTCAGGTAAGAGACTGCTTCTGTATTTATTAAGGATCCGTGACCCAATGCTGAATGCAGATTCAGATGCAACAGTGGTAATAGGAATGCTTAATAAGTCACGAGCCATTAGTGATAGATTTGGAAGACGTTTAGCTTTCCCCTTCCACCATTGTAATATATCAAATGTATCATCATCAAACTCCAAATTATCCTCTCCCAGATAAACATCAAGTTGAGATTTTCCAATCTTTGCTGCATTGAAGGGTTGATTGTGCTTTTTCAATTCCTACCATATTTGACAAGTTAAACACATAAAAATATAAGTTTTTAAAAAATACAATGTAAGTAAATAAATTATTATTTCAAATTAAAATAAACTTACTTGGAGCATGATTTCTGAAAATCCCTTCTTCTCTTTTGATATTGACCTACTTGAAGATGCACTTGTAACATCACTGAGACTTTGACTTGAAGAGGGAAGAATGTGACATGCATAATTGTCAAAGAGGTTGTATGCATTTTTCTTTATTTCTTCTACTTTTGCTTCACTTGTCAATGGATTAACTTTGGAATAACAATAAGACAAAGCAGAAGTCTTCATCCGTGGGTCAAGAAGCGCTCCTAGTGCAAGCACAATACTATATTCCTCCCAATATTTGTCAAATTTTTCCATCATCCTTTCAACCATGCTCTTTAAAATGTCATCATCATCATGTAATGTGTTCTGGAGACTACATTGAATTTGCCAAACTTGCAAAAAGTATAAGTTGGCAGTAGGATAGGATGTGCCAGAAATCAACTCAGTAATATCATAAAATGGCTTCAAGAACCCCATAATTTTTTCTCCTCTATCCCATTCATCAAGTGTAGGACAATATTTATAATTTTTATCACTGAATTCAAGAATAGAAAACACACGTTGGTATATCAGAGCACTTTCAAGCATCAGATAAGTTGAATTCCATCTAGTAGGGACATCTAGGCATAAGCCTTTTGAAGTGTTAATTCCTCCCACTTGATCAATGCATTCTTTAAATGCTTTCATTCTGCCTTCCGAGCCCCTTAAATATTTGACACTTTCTCTAATTTTTCTCAAGGCATCACTAGAAACTTTCAACCCTTCTTGAACAATTAGATTCAAAATATGAGCAGAACAACGAACATGAAAAAATTGTCCATCACATAACAACAATTTCTGCAAACCAAGCTGACTTTTCAAATTTCTCACCATATTGTCATTCGCAGATGCATTATCCAAAGTAATGGAAAATAACTTCTTCTCTATTCCCCAATCCTTCAATAAATCAAAATATTGTTACCGGGTGTTGGAGACAATTAGACAAAGACTTCAATTATTTATGGCGGGAAGCATGTCAAGTTGAACCACAATATTGTGTCGCGTTGAATTACATTAATCCAAGCAAAATTGATAAGTGATATTTAAACAAACTTATCCGAAGAAATTAAACCAATTCAATTAAGGATTTAATATTTCTACAGTGAATGTAGATAATTATCTAGATTTACTCCGAAAGCACGTCGTTTTAGGTTGAAAAATTATAATAAGAAAGACTATTATAACTCTGAAATTAATTATAATTACAAAAATACATTGATTTCCGTCCCAAAATGACGTCGTTTTGGGCTCAATGTAGATTACTTATCTACATTGACTGCAGAAAAAATGAACCCTTCAATTAATGCATAAAATTTAGGCTTTAATGTTTTTACAGTGATTGTAAATAAGTTATCTATATTTATTCCCAAAACGATATCATTTTGGGTTGAAAGATTAAAGAATTATAATGAGAAACACTATTATAACCCTGAAATAAATTATAATTACAAAAATACCTTGATTTTTGCCCCAAAACGACGTCGTTTTGATTTCAATGTAAATAACTTATCTATATTGACCGCAGAAAAAATGAACTCTAAAATGTATCGCGTGTACAAGGTAAAATTATAAATTAACCGCTTGAGCTAATTGTCAAATAGTCTCATGAAGTTTTATGTTAAATAAATTATGCCTTTGAGATTTTAAGTATCCGGTTGTTCACAAATTTTTCTGCTTTCCTTTATATATGTAATGCCAAATATTTTTGCGCACTTCCTAGGTTTAAGAAATAAAGTTGTATGAAACTCAGGATTGTTATAAACAATTTATTGGTTGTCCAATCCGTTATATAACCATTATGAACGTTGGAGACGTTATGACCGTTAGAGATGTTATGACTGTTGGAAACGTTATGACCGTTAGAGAAGTAATTGTAGTTATTATGTCTTTTATGTTTTCTGAGCCTATAAATAAGGCATGTATAAAGCATCATAGATGTACTACAATACAATAAGAATTCATTCCCCTATCTCTCTTATCTCCATATTCTTCTTCTAGTTCTTATTAATTTTACAACACGTTATCAGCACGATCTGCGATTCATCCCAATCTAGATCTCGGGATTCATCCCAATCTAGATCTCGGTGATTACTTTGCAATTTTGCTAAGCCATTATCATCATGTCGAGTTTGGATGGTTCGACGACATAGCCTTCACCGGCGGCATCTTGGAAAGCCTGATCTGCATTATTGGATAATGTGTCAGAAATACTTGTAGCTGTCAGATTCAGGATGATTTTTTTACTTTATTCTTTGCTTTGTTTTGCTTTCTTGACTTATTGTTATAAAATATTTGAATCCGATTATTCCATCTCGCATTTGGAGATTTGAGTCCCTGGTAGCTCGCCGCCGTCGCCGAAGGTGGTGCACATGTTGGATCCTATGTTGGATAGGGATGACCATGCTTATTGGGAGATGTTGTGTTTCTGCTCATACTCTCCAAGATCAAATGGAATAATAGTGAACATGTTCGAAGAGCTTAATCCTGTGGCGGTTAATTAAGGCCATAACAGTGAGTTTGTGTTTTCAAGAACCCAAACAAGCTCCTCCTCTTTACTGTGTTGACCCTTTCATAGCAAAGCCACTATCCAGGTTTATACTGATACTTTCCCTTCTTATTCAATATAATTATTGTGTTTATTATGTTTCTTTAAGTAGCATATTGTTTGGTATGCACATGTGTTATTATGTTTTCGACAATTTTTAAAGTTGATGGGCCCCACATGATTTATATTCTAAATTCCATTTGCTTAATCCATATTGGATCCAGATTGCTAAAAAAAGTTGCCTACCAATATATACTTTAAGCATATCATGCAAACCAGTATATTGTTTTTATATATTATATCCATATATATACTTTTCCATGGCACACTACTAAGGAATTAACCTACTTGATCATTATCATCTCGAAAGCATAGAATTTGGAAAGGGTAATAGAGGCACTGTTTCTATTCATTTGCATGCTGTAGCAATTATATTTTATTTATTATATATAATATTGTCATTTACCAAATAATAATTCAATCTGAAGGGGATCTACTTTTTAGACTTTGGACCACATATTTGTTATATTAATTTATTGATGAATGATGCTCGTGGGATCTTACTACAAACTCAAATTATTAAACGTCAATCTGAACTTGTGATTTTTATTTTTATTTCTAGTTTGTATAAAATTTATTGTGACAATATGTCATCTTCTTGCAATTATTATATAACCATATATTAGAATATATGTAATCAATTTTGTTTGTGTATTAGAATATGTGCAAATAATTTTGCCTTTTATATTGCTATTAATTTTGTGTGAAAAAAGGGGAAGTTACAAATCATTTGCCATCAATCAAATTTAATTTTTGAAATGAATGAGAAACCTTTGGAGCAATGTATGTTTTTTTTTTTCCGAATGCATTCATAAAGAGAGATATAATACATATTAATATTGCAACCATATATGCTTGCTATGGAATGAAAGGTTATGAGTTTAACTGTTTTATTTTGGGCATAATATATTTTATTCTATAATATTATTTTAATTGAATGCAAATAAAGAGTTATGATGATGTGCAAATAGATGCATTCTTTTATTTGAAAATTTATCATTAATAAAATAATCGTTACAGTTATTTTATATATCATTAAATCTCATAACCGTTACAGTTGTCTCATATATTATAATGACCCTAACTGGTAAATCTTAATTAGAGATTTAATTTAAGGATTTAAATGCCCTAATTAGAGTCAGAGCGGAATTTCGAGTATTTTGATTGTAATCATGGCTAGGTCATGAAGAGTGCGTTCTGCCGGATGATCTGCATACTTGTGAATTAACCGGTAGAGCTAAAATGAGTAAAATGATTTTAGAGACAATATTTGACAATTCTGACGCCAAATATGAGTTTAGAACGTAAAATTGTATAGTCTGGCACCTTCCGTGAAAATCTCATGAATAATGTTTCTACCGGGTATTTTGTACCGCTATTTAAGCAACCGATAGAGTCCAGAAACAAATATTTGATAAAATAAGAATAAGAAAGTCCAATATATACCATACAAGTCATAATAGGCCCAAGAATGATAAGTTCATACGTTTTAAGTTTCGTAACTAAACGAAGTACAGTTAGTGATTCAGAGAAAATAAAAAATTAATGTAAATGAGTTCAGAAAAATAAAAATATGTCTGTAGCTTTAAGTTAGTTTCGGGTCAGTTTAAGTGAAAATATGCGAAAGAAAAACATCCGGTAAAAAGCCCTATGTGCTTATAAACCATAAGTGACTGAAAAGAATCACTATTCACATCAGAATTTGCTCTCTTCTCTCTCTTCTACCCGAGTTCTTCTTCTCCAAAGAAGGTTAGGGTTTGCAAATTTCTTTCTTTGATTTCTCCCTAAATACTCATCCAAATCCTTTGATCCATACATGAAAATCATAGGAAAAAATCCAATGAATCCATTCCACCAATCAATTTGAGCTATAGTTGAGTGTGTGAAGAGTTCCTCCCCCCCCCCCCCATTTTCGAGCTACTATTCATCAAAGGAAAAAAATGGAGCTTTTGATTGGTGAATGTCTTCTAGGCTTTGGGTAGTTGATTAGAGGTAACAAAACTCTAACCCTATGATTCTAGTCTTGTGATTTATGTTGTGAAAGTCATGAGCATGGTTGGGTGGGAAAGATGTTAGTTTAAAACTTGCATTGATGGTGTATTATGGATGCTTTGGGATAATAGGAATGCTAAATAAGCCTTTGTACATGTGTAAAATTTAAAGAAAAAATCCATGGTATAGACCTTTTATGTTTCGGCCTTCATAGAGTAATTAGGGTTATTGTGCAAAAATTTATCTTATGTATTGAGAAATTTTATTGTGTGGAAATTAAGGGAGAAATTGATAAATTAGTGAGAATGCCAAAGTGGAGAAAAATCCTAAGGATCATACCCTATGTTTCGACCTTGTGGGTCTTTGGGAGGGGCTTGACATTCCAAAATTTAATTGGAACCTTGTGGATACATGCATATGTATGTGCAAGCTACATATAAGTGAAGAAAAAGAATAATTAAAAAGAAAAGAACCCTTGCCTATTCCTTGTAGAGTTCAACCTATAGGGTGGTTAGGGGTAGATTTTGTTACATTTTATTTTAATAAAATATGTTGTATTTCAATGTATGAAAGTGATGAGTAAGAAGTGAAATAGCTTGAAAAATTGTGAAAAATATATTGATTTCCCTAATGGTAGTCCACGGCCTTTTGAAGAAAAAATGGCATGATTTATGTGGAAAATTCTCAAGGGAACACTTGATTAAAGTAAAGAATGCTAACGATTATGAAATGGTCTAGACTTGTGTATTGGCATAGGATTGGCAAAAATGTAAAGAAATGAAAATAAGCGATAAAATGAATGCCTTATGTGAAATCTAGGCATGATAGCATTTTATTGATTTGTATTTTGGGTTCTTTCTCTAGGAACACCTAGGGACTGAAAAGGATCGGAATCTCTTGAAGATATATATAAGTAACTTGTGTCACAAGTAAGCGGATTGAAAAAGCTTCAAGAGGTAAGCTCTATGTTTAAGGAGTCTTTTCCTACTTGAGTGTTCCACCATGGTTAGTGAACTATGGTTGGATTGAATGAATGTTGTTTAGATGCTTTGTATAGATGCATTCATATAGAGTTATTTAATAACATGATATGACTTGTTCTGATATGATTTCTGTATTGATGGTATGGTACACTGATGTCTTCTTGGGATTTCCCTGAGATTGACGATGTACACCTCTGACATGTTTTGGTTCCGCTTGGGGTCCTCCCTTGGGAATGACGGCGCACGCCTCTGAT